AAAAGTACGTTATTAGCTAATAATTATTATTAATGATACCAAATTATTCTATTAAATTTCATTTCATTTTCTCTGGATAATTACATTTATTAAATGGATTGTGCAACAGTGTTTCAATCGTAATTGATTATTTGAAATTCATACTATAAATATTTCTGAGTATTATACGAATTTTGCAATTAGACAATATCGTGTATAAGAAAGTATCTACAATAATTATTTGGAAAATTTGTTTGTTAAGTTTTGTGGATTCTTTGGAATATGATTTCGCTAGAGTTTACGTGTAAATTAAAATCAAATATAACATACTGGGAGTGATTTTTTTTTTTCTTTGCAAATTAGTTTTGCCGTATCTAAACATAGTTGATAGCGAGCCAAATTTGTTGAGAATCCAACACGATATCAATTAAATCAATGTAAAAACAGAATTTCATTTTTAAAAAAGGAAATTTCCAAATTTCAATATTTGTATTTTCTTAAATAAATCGCATTCTGTAGAAGAATTTATCGCGAGTAATTCTAATGATCGAGCTAGATTTGAGTCAATTTTAAAAAATTTAGAATTATTATAATTTTATAGTTCGAAGATATCGACGACTATTATATTCAACGTTTTATTTTAATATATTTGCTAATAAATTGTCTAATAAATTTCAGTATAAACAAAGATATATAAATATTTATTTATCAAGATTTTAAGGTCTGTCCTTGAAAATCGTATATATATTTTACATAAGATAATATCGCATGCATTAATCACGTATACATGTTCTATAATAATTTATGCTTAATCATATTATATAAAACGTATTGCAGAATTATTAATTTAAAAATTTTATTTTATAATAGTTTAGATATTTTTTTCTTATACAAGTGTGTACAAATGTTGGAATATATGATTAAAATTCACGATAAGCAATTTAATTGAATGAACGAGATTTTTCAGTTTTATATTTGTCGTAAAAAGTATGTATGTCCGATTTAAATTCTTGTAAATTTCATAATATTAGAATCATTTTTTCTCCAAATTTTATCACCTCGTTAATTATGAAACATAAAATCGAAATTCGTGTAAGGCATGGAAATGGATATTAAATAAATCGGAGTTGAGGCTTATAGGGAAAGTAAAATAAATTTCGGACATCTTAATTTCGTAAAATTCAATTTTAAAATTCTTATAGAGTGTTTATTTATTTCTTAAGAAAATATTGTTGAGATAATAGAATCGAATGAAATTGATACTTTGTTAGTTAGTTGAGTATATTTTGTTAGATTGTTACAATTTCATAAGCTTATTTATTATATAAAATTTTAAATATAAATTTACATTTACTAACTTACTTTTTGTAATCAAATTTTCTATCGTAAATTGACTTATTGCCAACTCGACATCATTAAATTGCTGCTTAGTAATGTCAGAAGGAATGTTGATTGAATTTTATAAAATAATAGGAGATACTAGTTGATTGAATATTTTATTATGCATCATAAGTGTCGAAATGAAAAATTTATAATCAAATCTTATATATGAAATAATTTAGAGATTATATCTTTAAGAGCTATTTCTCTTCCTATGTATAAATAATCTTTGCACGTTTTATTATTTTCTGATACATGATTTTTCGGAAGAAGAATATGGTTACACAATTCTTTTTCAGACTATTGAAAATTTTTCTTTTTCCTTGTAGTAGCCAGTTCGGGTATATAGTATTTTTTACACGTTAACACTACTTAATAATACTTTTATCATTTTTATAATAAATTAAATGTCCTTTATAGGGTCATATACATTAATTTCATTAATATTTATTGGTATTCAGGAAGTTGTACCGCTGTACTCTAAATTCATTGTACTTATTATTTGAATGCTGCATGCTTCATATGCATATTATCATTAATGATTCAAGTTTTCAATCGTTTGAGAATATTGTGGGCACATTATACTATTAATAAAATTAGAAATTCCATAATGTTAGTAATTTATTGGTATTCAAATTGTTTTGCTTAAATAAATCAATATTAAAAATGTATAGGCAATAAAGTTGAAAGTAACGGCTACTATTGTTTAAATACACTGCATAACGTTTGAGTTAAATATTATTTCTTGTATTATTTTTTTATCACATTTTCAAAATACTTCAATTTTGTGTTTATGTAATATTCATATTCATATCAGCACATATTAAAGATATAACGATTTAATAGAGTTTTTCTTTGTATTTAATAATTTGCAATTCGTTATTGCTATTCTATTGATTTTTATACAATTTAATTTGTATTGTTAAAATTAATTTCTGCTAGCATATTTATAAGAATGATCTAGTATATGTGTGTGTGTGTGTGTGTGTGTGTGTGTGTGTGCGCGTTTGTGTGTGAAAATGAATTTAATTATAAATTTTTAATACATTATCGTTAAAGGATAATAACTTTTTTAAATAATGCGAGTAGCCTTTATTTTGTATATTAACAAGTAATTAGAGGAGCTTTAACACATGTAGCATTATAATTAAAACTAATACTTTTTATGTCACAAGACTTCGAGCTACGAGTTTTAAGTTATAAGTAGGAAAAATATTAATTTGCAATATGAACGTTCAAATATTCACAACAGATTGTGTGCAAGTTTTTATCCCTTTAGTTCAATAGGATGGAAATTATTGTAATTCTATTCAGAATTTTCTCTTGACGCAAAGTTTTAAATATACGTATAACACACGTGCATTTGTATTATTATAGTCTTGAAGGAAAAGAAAAAGTACCGTTAACGATATAGTTCGGATTACAAGGAAATAAAATGTCAATTTTTACTTACCTTTGAGATGTTTTAAGAGTATTTCTTGCCTCATTGAATGAGTGATACAAATACTTGAAAATTACGTTGAAATTCTTTAATTTTTTCACGGCATTACGAAATGTATTTGAATGATTTAAGCGCTTTGACATCAGATTTAAAAAAGAAAAAGACGTGCTTTATACCGATACTCGAGTAATAAAACACGAGCATAAATTGTCCGTCGCATGGATATATTGGAATTCGAAGGAAATATTTAATAGGCTCTTTCAAGTGTTGTTTAATTTATGATTTTTGTTTTTTATTGAAAATAAAGGAAACAATGAGCTGTATTTTTTTCTTCTTATGTTTGTCGCAAGAACATTAATACTTGTTTTACAATTATTCGCTCGTTACAAAATAATCTTTCAGAATGGAGTATATCGGTATTATCGTTGCGCAAATACTGATCTTCGTATATCTCGTTATCGATCGAGTTTATGACTATAATCGTTAAATTAAAAGGCTAGTTTGTTAACATAGAAATTATTTGAGAATACAAGTTTTTCGTAAATAAGAGCTTCAACGAATCCAAGGAAATTTCGCGAAATCGTTATTTTAACGCGACATTTGATATTGGCTGTTCGTTTGCAGCTGTTTGGCGGAATTCGATTTACTAGATCATTATTTGTTAATACTGAACTTCAATCCATTGAGTTTTTAAACAAAAATTTGATATTTATTTCTTCTCCGACGCGAGGTTGTTAGCATAGGTCTCGCCGCGACTAGGCCTATATATACTTTTTTTTCTTCTTTTAATTATGTATTTTCGAAAGGTAATTCCTCTACAGGGATTTCCCATCGCTTCTTTCGAGCGATTCGACTTAAAAACTACGTAGGTACGGTTTCGCGACGACATTTGAAGCACTGGCACTCGTGAAAGCTAATTGCAAAATCAGGATTTAATAAAATTAATTAACTGATGCGTGGCTACCTATTAGACAGATGTTTTTACATTTTCGTTTATTTTTGCGGAAAAGTCTGAGAAAAACAAAACTAGAACAATTATAAATTAATAAATTTTTTGCCTTTATGTGCATTATCAATTAACGAATTGACAGATTTTGTTTTCATTGGTGCAAACAATTAAAATAACGTTCTCTGCTGAATTGTTAGAGCTTTAACCTATTGTATTGTATTTAAAAGGATTAAACTTAAAGTTGAAATTTTGAATTAAGCTATCTTGTTAAGATGAATTATAAAACGTAAAATAATAGCAAATTTTTGCAAAACCATGTCAACATTCATTAAATTGGAATAATATTTTAATAATATGAAAATGATACGTATTTTCTCAGAAATTTTCTACGTATTATAAGTGTTTATTCCATGCTCCACATGAGATAAAGCTAGAGACAGAGATAGATAGATAGATGGAGTGACTGTGAGAGGGGAGGGAGATGGAGAGAGAGAAAGAGAGAGAGATATGTTGATCCTCTTCTTTATGATTATTTTAGAAAAATAATCACTTTCTGATATATATATATATATATATATATATATATATATGTAGAGGAGTTGGATAAAAGGGTGAAAAACAACTAAAAAATCTCTTTATTTGATCATTGCCCATAATTCGGTGGTTCTCTCAGAAAATAACAATATAATCGTACGATTACGGGTACGCCGGCTCCGTTAAAATGTACAGTGTAATTTGTGGATCTTTCCTTTACATATTCTAAAATTAAACAATACACATACACATGATTCTTAAAAAAAATTCACATCATCTGATCATATACACAAGCTCGCATACACAATCCGTACTCTATCCATCATATACAACAAAAATACCATTTTTAAAGAGATCTTCTCAGATTGCACATTCAGTAATCATGGAAGAAGATGCTTTTTAATTATCACTTTTGATACATTTCTATTAAATAGGCAGATAATTATCTTTCAGTAATTTCAATCGTTCTTCAATTTTATATGAATTCTAACGGTAAATTTTGCGCTTTCAATCATTTAGTAATTTCGGTTTAGATGTACAAACAAAAAAAATAAACGCACGCGCACGCACACGAACACATAAAACACACACAACGAACACACGCACACACGCGCGCGCGCGTGCACACACACACACACACACACACACACACATATATATATATGTATAAACAAATAAAACAAAAAAACAATTTAAAAAAAAAAAAAAATCAAAAAACAATAATCCACAACAAACTGGTTTGTATTAAAGCCAAAGTTTCTAAAAGAAGAGCGCGTTATCGTATTACATTATGATTATAATTTCACATTGTTTCATCGAAAGTGTTGGAAAAGTGCCAATTAAACTTTTGAAACACACTAATTCGCGGCTTCCTCCGAGACTCGTCACAGTTTGTAGACGCGCGACACATCTCTCTCCTCGATCAGCAGCATCTGCTGCTGTTGCTGATGTAGGAAGAGCATCTGTTGATGTTGACGCTGTTGCCTTTGCTGCTGTCGCTCGTGCCTCGATGTTCGATGTCGCGCGTCTCTCGAGCTGGAAGCTCGCGATGGCTCTCGTTACAATTCCGTCGTCAATGGCTCGGCCTTTTCCACGATAACGTGAAACTCCGTCTCCTTGTACAGCCTCCCATCTGGCACGACCATTGTAATCCTGCTGTCCACCGGGGCACCACCCGAGGCTGTAGTCTCTCTATTGATTACACCGTTTTGTGTCTTGGTGACGACGTCAGGTGCCAACGTGGGCACGCTTATCCATCGCTTTCGCCCGTCCCTTCGGTGTTTACGACAATAGTAGACGAGGAGAGACGCTGCAATTATCAGCAGAAGTAGCAGGCCTGATATGGCTGAGATCAGCAGAAGCATTGAGCTGCTGAGCGCGCAATTACGAGTCTCAAATTCTATAAAACTCGAAGTCGACTCGGCGTCCAGATTTTCCAAGCAAAGAAAAGTCTCGGGATCCTCGACGCTGGTCTCTAAAGAAAATGGCGGGGCTAGGATGTTGGTGTTGTCACGGGACGTTATCAGTCTCGAATAAGCATTCGTGTAGTTAAGTATTTGACTCTTCCAGATCGACAGCTGATTGCAGTCGCAAACTTGATTGACGAGAACGCTATTAATCTCCGTGCGAAAGCTCGTCCTGTCGAATATCAGCGATCCTTCCTCAAAACTGTTTAAACTATTGTTTTTGAACATGAGAGTGTATAAGTTAGTATTGGAAGGTGGTATTCTATTTTCCGTGTCGGCGCGTATGGCGAAGAATGAGCCGAAGGCGACGTTGCCCAGGGTATTATTTTTTATAATGACCGTTCCGCGTACGCTTATGTCAAAAGCCTCGCTTTCGAGATTATCGATAGCGCAGTTAAGTATGGCCACTGTTTTTGGTCTCTTAATCACGAAGGCGGAACTTCTGACGTTGCCCATCTTAACACCGTCCAGCATGAACTTGTCGTAAATTTCGATATCATTCATCACTCGGCTGGGCACTTGATCGCCAAACGTTCCACCAATCATGTGGAAGAATCTCACGTCGAACTTTTTGAAGGCAAGGGCCTCGATAACCTCGATACGGCAGTTTTCTAGGGTTATGCTATTGGTGTTGATAAGATTGGCAAAGGCAAATGCTAAGACTTGGCCTATCCTTACATTCTCGAGGACGATGGCTTCAACGTCACCGTGAAAGACGTTGCTCGGTAATACATCGACGCTGCTATTCCGCACGGTTATTCGCGTATTAGAGGCTTTTTGTGACAACTTAAAGCTGTGATGCATGAGAGTCAAGTTGGCGACGTTAATGAGGTCAACGGAGATGAGGCCGTCCATCTGGACGAGACTGAAATTGGTTAGTAGGACCGAAGGACAGTTATTGACGACGATCCGACTAGTGTGACGACCGAGACCTCGTTCGCCATCCGCCGTCAATATCAGCTCCTGCAAACAAGAGATAAAAGATTTATTGAGTCATGAGCTTTTCTCAGATGGCTGAAGGTATTACGAGGCTAGTCGAGGCTTAGTGAGATAAATGAGTTTTTGAAGGCACGAAATTCCTAAGTGTCTAGTCTCGACCTTTAATACCCTATATATTCGCCTCTTTTTCCATCTTCTCCTCTTAATCTGTTGCTGAGTCCACGAGGGCGATGATAGGGTTGTACTGATTTTTAAGCCGAATACCGTCGAGCCTTATATTTCATTAAAGTGACAATTATTTTTCATTTTAAAACTTTAAAAGTTAATTTCAGTTGATTCAAGTAATTTAAGGAACTAAATTTCCGTAATTATGCATTTTGGGCGATTCATCGATAACCAATCGATCGATTAATGTAAGATTAATATTTTATATTTTCATCTCTTAAGAAAATTGATTGAGTCGTGTCGTGACTCATAATAGCTCATAAATATAAATTAAGATCAATTCAATTATTTTTTTATTAGACTGTAAAAATTAGTGGCATTCTTTTACGATACGGCGCTCTTTTATGATATCGCCTAGTTTGTTAAATAACTCAAGGGTATATCGTTGCAACTAAGTATATTTAAATAAGTATTTGGTTGGCTTATAATTTGCAGTTTTATTAAAAGTATAATTTGACAGACGTTATAGAACATTCATTTCAAATTTCCATTTGAACAACTTTTTCTTTTCTTTTTTTTTTTTTTTTTTTAAGTATGTCTATCGTAAACACGCACGCACGCACGCACGCACACAAAAGCCACTGTTAAAATCAACTTGTTGCAATGACTTTGGTCACATCCATATAGATGTGTGAATATTATAACTGTATCGAAAAACAAGAATACCGCATTAATGTCGAAAGACGTCATCCGCTTTAAAGTTTCCAAGTTTCTCGTGTGAGAGGGGATCGCGGAAAATCCGACAGGCTCACTAATAAGGGTCGAATCTGTGTAATTGGCCATCTAATTGCTGAAATTGTCGACGACATGTGCCGTAATTTCCACCTCCAGCAATTAACGAAGGTGCCTTTACGAGAATAACGTCGTTATTATACTCGGTAAGCTTAACTTTCTGTCGGAAGGCTTCGTCTTGTCGGTGCTTTATTGTCGGTGCATCAACTACTCATACATCGTTTTGGAAAAGCTTTTCTCATTATTCTTTACGTAAGAGAGAACATGGCATCGGCATAGCATAATCAGATAGACGCTTTAACGATAGTCCATTACCAGAATGCTTCTACACTTTTACCCTTGAAATTGCTTGATTTCTCTCACACTCCCATTCATTACTGTCGACATCCACTGTTTAGCCTTTAAATTTAATTCTTGTAACATTTATCAACTATGATATTCACTTTATTTCTCAATGAAAATCATGATGGTTTATTATTATGGTGAATGTTGTATTATTATAAAAATAATTAGTCGTATTGTTGCTTATAAAGGTAAAATAATAATAGATAATAATAAGGAAAGTCGAAATTTAATTAGGAGCTTTTTACGATGATCTTGAGAAAGCGAGTAAATTGCTTTTGGAAATGAGGAAAGGCGTTGAATTCGAACGAGATAATATTGACTTTTGCCTGCAATTTATATATGTAATTTGCAAAATACCTATATTTGTAAAATGAGTCGTTAGAGGTCAGGTATCTATCGCCGTACACCGAACGCTCACAATGAAAGTTGGAGAGATTAATCATATTATGAATACTATTACTAATTGCCGACCGCTGAACAGCATCGTCAATTATTTTCCAATTGTAATAAATGAATTTTGTATATTTACTCGATAATATGTATATATCCGTGGCAGCGAAATGCTTATGAAAATTCCTTGTTTTGCTCTACTTTAAGCGAGAGATGTTAATGTAAATCCTTAAAAAACTGTCAGAATCAAGGAGATAGAACCAGCTTCAAAATATTTTCCTTCGAGTGGCGTATATTGTTCATCGATCGCTTCACTTGCTATTCTAACATTAACATCATTTTCCTTGGGTTACTTGCGAAAGGGAAAAAGTAGAGGGCAGAGCCGGAAAACGAGAGAAAGGAGTTTAAGTGGCCTCGGTGTTTCGGTAAGCAGTGCTCGAGGCTACTTTTGCTCGAACCCCATGATCATCGGCGGCTGAGCGAAAGGGCGGCACAAAGGGTCGATTCCATTGCTCTCGCGATGAGCCAATCAATATTAGAGAATAACAAAGTTTATATCTACATTCGCTTTTATCATTTTTCAAGTTGCCCCGTTACGTTAGGTAGCACAAGGATTATCAAGTATTCCTTTAGGGGTTGGAGAATGTTTTTTTAATTTAATGCGAAGTGAAAGAAGAAGCGTGGCTTCGCTTTTGATTGCCTATCAAAAGACACGTAAGCTTTCTTTTTCTTTTTCTTATTCTTCTTCTTCTTCTTATTATTATTTATTTATTTATTTATTTATTTTTTATTTTATTTTTTTTTTTTTTTGAATTTATACTCGATATTACGTCCTGGGTGTAAATAGAATGGTTTTTCAATTTCGTTCGTACTATTGTTCATACTGTAAATTATGTAAACTTCTTATTTTTAATTCGATTTTTTCAATTTTCATCCATTTAATGAATAATATCGACGAGCTTGCTTGCAGTAATCGTTCGTTTAACGATCGTTACAAGATATGCTTGCATTAAATAGATCATACAGTCACGATATTAGGATACAAGGATACAAGGATCATAATGATTTTTACACGTGCATTGATAATGGAAAACATTTGAACATGGAAGTATCAAAATAAGGACGAGTTTACGTCGATTCGAGGGAAAAAATTCTAGATTTTGCGCAAGTTTTTGTCTATGTGTCTTTCATCCTCGAGTCAAGGGGCAAATATCTAGAAAGTTTTCCATCCATGCGACGCGTATAACTCGGATTCTCGACTATTCGGACTCCTAACCTTCCTAGCAAACTTCTCTAATTACAGTTTTCACCGATAAGACAAGAGAAAGAGAGCAAGATTACCAGAGTGAGGAGGTCCCTTGGGCATAAAAAGAGAATTCTATTAGGTCACTGAGAGAGTCGGTTAGTTGAAACAATGAATGATATGGGGCGAGTATCGCTACATCGATGATTTTCGTGGAGATTTATTCGACGCGTCATTCTGCCGCTCTTACTTTTCTTCATTATAATTTCTTTCTTTCTTTTTCTCGTTTTTTTTTTCTTCTTTTTTTTTCATTCAACACATTGAGAGATAATTTCCACGGGGACGAATCGAGGAATTGGTTACCTTCGTCTTTTATGTACGCCATGCCACGGGTTTAAAAGCACCTCGGAGAATCATCAAATTCTTGGTACTTGATTAAGTTTTCAAATCGCTTTTATCCTTAGTAATATTTCTTCGACCGAAAGTAGTAACTTTTTGTAATTTCTTTTTAAACAAAATTGCAGATTTCTATATTTATTATAGAAATTCTGTACAGCTGCAAGCATGAATAAATGTAAAATAAAGTGTTTCGACATTTGCATATGGACTAAGATCTCGGAAAGTTATTTAAAACGCTAAAGTTATAATAAAAATTTTGACTTTGGACAATGTACACACAATTATTTAACCGAATTATTGAAAGTTTTTCATTCTGCTTATTACAAAATTAGCATTCGTAAATCATCAAATATTTTAATGTTTCTCTAAATATTCCAACCGAAACGTTTCTCCCTTACATTATAAGTATTTACATTTTAAGCTGTGAATAATGCCAAAGCAATTAGTAAATATTATACTTTTCACTAACCCGAATGAAGTTCGTTACATGAAATATAAATTCTTTGCATCCAGACATTTTTTATGCATTGTATTTGCTTGTACCTGTTGGGTGTATAGAGTTTTGCAAGGCTGCAATAAAAAATTTTAATTTTCATCCGAGTCAAGAGCTAGATTTATAAAATCTATCGCATTTCCATATTGAAAGGGTTTTCATTTTTTTCTTACTCTATAACGCTTATCGCGACGTAACAAAAAGTGCGAACAAAGGCAAAATAAAGAATAGAGGGCCTATGCTCCTGAAAGCTGAAAATGAAGTGGCCTGTTCGCAGGTGTAAATGCAAATTAGAGAGAGAGAGAGAGAGAGAGAGAGAGAGAGAGAGAGAGAGACAGACAGAGTGTGGGGGGGAGGGGGCGGAGGGCAGCGCGTATCTATTTAATTTTGTTAACACGGTATCTTTTTTTGTCATTTTTTTTTTTTTTTTTTTTGTTCTACAAATGAAAAAATCGAGCAACAAAGACTACGTGCATCGCACTCCGTATGTATCGGTGTAATAAATTTTCGAAAACATGCTTGTGCGAATTCATACCTACAAAATCTGAATTTTATTATCCTAGTGTTCAACTATTAGATCTAAAATCTAGCGCATGAAAAGAAAAAAAAAAAGGCGGCAGACAGGAGAAAAGTATATTGTTAGTCACCATTTTGATGTATATAGAAATTTCATGTATATAAAGCATAATTTTTATTCATTGTTAGTAATGACTTTGCTTGAGTTATTTTTTCAAAGTTTTTGTAAGAAAATTTTTTTCTCCATATGTTTTAAATGATTATAAATTTTTAATGTGCGCGTTGCAAGCTCCAATATGAAAAATATGAAATGCCATTGTCATATTAATATTATGGTATACAAATTTGATTGCATTCAATAAATAATAATATCGTAGAAAATATATTTTAAATTTTCATTTCTGAGATATGTCATATTCTTATATATTATTTATGTATTTTGTAATATGACAATATGTGCTTTATAGAATAAAAGACATTCATCATTGCTCTTTAGTATTTTTCTCTGTAATAAGAAATTCCTATTATCTATCGACTGTTTGAAAATCGGACATCTTAAATTTTCATTTTTTTTATTTTTTTTTTTTTTTTTTTTTTTTTTTTTTTTTATTAATACAATGTCTAAAGAAATCGAATTTAAAATTACAAAGTATTAAAATTTTGGAGAATCTTCGGAGAATC